GAATGGCCCGTAGCAATGGGCACCTGTTGACCAAATATAAGAAAACATCTTACTGCTGTGCTTGCCAACAAGGGTATCTTCACCAAGTACTAAATCATGTTTTGCTTGGGGATCAAATATTGATTTCTCTCAATGATAATAACATTTTTATTTAAATTTTTTTGTTGATATCATCTTTCTCTCCATTAATATGAAACTAGGTGAGCAAACACAGATACATCAGATTCCTACTGTAACTAACAAAAATCCTATATAAACCCATTTTAATGAGATAAATGGTTTTTGCCAGCAGCTTTGAAGCAAACAGGTGTCAGTTTGTGATCTCATGCAGTCATAGCTGTAGATTAACTGCTGCCAAGCCACTATCAGTTAAATCTGACCAAACCACACTACATGATATCACATAAAACTTGAGCTGTCATTTCTGCTTCTTTACTGATCAGAACTTAATGATGAAGAAAATCAGCCATTGCAATGACATGACCAGAAGACATTCGAAAACACTTTATATAATATATGTATTCTTCTGTTAAATGGAAATTCTAAAAAGACTGCATTTACATAATGACTATCAAAAGCTCACTCTCTCCCTTATTCACACATGGTTTTATTCTGTTTATCTCAAATGCCTCTCACATGCTTTTGCTGACATTTTCACGTGTATTTTATACATAAATAATGTGTATACTGCACTATTTCTGTATTAAATATATTTTGCCCTAACAATATAATAAAACTTTTTTTTTATGCTCATCTGCCACTTTTTATGCTTCTTATTCTTACTTTTTTCTGTCTTTGATAGACTTTTTTTTTATTAATCAGAGGAGTGTCCTCCTGTGTAAATGCTGCTTTAGTGATGCAATTTTCCCCTCTGGGATCAATAAAGCACAATTCATGTACCACGCTGTCATATCCCTTCAGGCAAAGGATAATCAGAAGATCGAATGAAAACAGAAGCAGTCACATTGTAGGTGATGTGTTAGTAATGAGCCTTCTGGGTTTAATTGTTTGTGTGTGCGTGTGTGTGTGTGTATATTTTAAACCTTTACTACCTAAGATGCCTTTACTTCCTATATTAGAGATATTTTGATGATTGAATTGATTTTTTTTACTGTCCAAATTTCTCAAGCAAACATTTACAATTAATTAACAATTAATGAGCATAACTTCAAAGAACACTGAGCTTGCTCTCTTTAGTCGCACAAAATAACATAGGACATTTTTCCAGATGTTGCTTGGTTAAGGCAGTGGTTCTCAAACTGTGGGGGAGGCCCCAAAAGTGGAGCAGAGCAGAAATTTGTAGTGAAAGCAGCTTAAATAACTATAATCCTGGATATTATTTTACTTAAATTAAACTTCAATACTACACATATTACTACATGGCTGGCTTTATTGCAGGAGGGAGAGCAGTTAATCTATTAATTGGAAGGTTAATGGTTCAAACCCTGGCTGCTCCACTTTGCAGGCAAAAATATTCTTGGGCGAGATACTAACTCCAAGTTGCAATGCATAGAAAGTATAGAACTGTTTGCATGAATGGGTGAATGAGTTGTAGAGTAGAGTAGAAAAGGACTATATAAGAACCAGACTATTTACCATTTACATGTATTCTTTTGGCTCACTGATTAAAAGCCTTGAAGTTTTTTAGCTTCTGCAGTAGGGCAGACCAGAAAACGTTTGAGAGTCACTGATTTAAAGCAAGTACTCTAGTAACTAAATAATAGCATGGCAGATTATAGGCAAAGGGCTATATTTACCAAATTTAGCAAGCCACTGAAGAGCACAGAGTTTGTCAGTTACTCCATCAGTCTAGGTGGTAAATGAACAGAGCATCTTGTTCCTTTCAGTTTGCTTCAGGATGTTAGCAGGAGTGGGCTGAGTGACAGGCACAGACAGAGTGAGTCAGCGAAACTCCAAACAAGCTGAAGCTATTGTGATTCACAAAGCTTTTAAAAAGGAAAAGGGATGCACAGCTGCCATCGGAGGACTGTGCAAAGACACGCATGTACCAGGGTATGTAACGACCAAAGCATTCTTTAGCTCAGACACACGGCTTTATTTCTCCTCACACACATTTACAACACATCTTTGTTGTAATGCATACCTAGCGCATAAGATACAAAATGCAGATTTTCTCTGGCATTATTAAATCCTCTCAGCTCAGTATTTCAGTATTAACTTCAGCCTTTACTGCAAGCCAATCTCTACTTTGAACCTTAAAACTAAAATCAAATCTGAAACACCTTTTCGTTTTATAGAAATTTCTTCAACTCCTTCACCACCCTTCTCACACTGCTCTCATAGAAATACACAAGCACACACACAGACACACACACACAGCCCAGCTTATTTCTCTCTTATCCAGAGAAATCCTTTCATCAGCCTTTCAATGCTGGGTAATCAAAGTATAAAGAACCATGCCAGTCTCCTATTGCCAGAGGCTGAAGTGTGTGTGCAGTCACCAGGTGATAATCCGATATCGTGTGCTTCCCCACTGATGTTAAGTAATATGAAAAAAAAAATATCAATCCCACCTCAGGCCGAATGTGTGACTCTCTTCGTAGCGGAAGAGAGAATGAATCTTCACATCCGAATTCACGGCAATCAGTCTGTCAATCAAATCCTGTGGAGTAAAATGAGAGGCTTTGAACAAGAATGCAGCGGTTAGGGTGCAAAACGAAAACAGTGTGGGAATTTACAATGTGTAAGGTGGAGAACATATATCAGTCTCAGTGTGAGGGGGGTTTATTTGAATGCGTTTGAAGTAAAACAAATGTGTGGGTGGTGTTTGGAGGCCAAATAAAAAGTGCAAACATGCCCTCAGATGGATGACAAAAAAAAACTGCAGTGTGTGGAAAAGAAGAAGAAGAAAAACACTTACAGGTATGGAGGTTGGCATCTCCCTCAGGGTGTATTCGCTTTTGTTGGCCAAAGACTGTCGGCCCAGCAGTTGCCACACCGACTGGGAAGAGGAGAGGAGGTTGACCAAGTACAGGAAGGACTGAAGAGGAAAGTAAATACAGCAGCTGTTAGAGAGAAAAAATGTATTTGCTTTTAAAGACCATTGTGAATGCATTTGTGCACGTCATGGATTGATCAAATCCTAACACATAATAATAATATAACACTATTCAACTACAAACACTACCGATAATATGACAAATAATATCTGTAGTATTCAAAGCAAAACAAAATGTAAAAAGAATTTATGATTGCAAAGATAAAACATGGTTTACCACACTCTCAAAACTGAATAAGACATATATTCTGAGCAGAGTGGTTGAGCAGAAACCTATTGCAGCCTGAAGAATATTAAACTACAGGAAAGCTCCCTGCATTTTTCACTGGGTCTGGTAGAACAGGGAAAACATATCATCAAAAGCATCAAAGGAAAAAAAGAGAGACACTTGCACAAACGAGCTACAACTTAGATTATATTAAACAGCTTCAAAGAAACGTAAAGAAAAAAACAAGATACGATGGATTTTTTTTTCTAAAATAGAAATATCTATACTTTCATGTGTCTTCTGATGTTTCTGTGCATGTGTGAACTTATCTTCATATGTACTACCAAACCTCCTACTGTACTTAGCACAGATTAAAGCAAAGACTCGAGTTAATTCACCAAAGTGCTGGTGTGTGTATATTTAGTTTTCCTTTGACCTCAGCATATATGTATAACCCACTGATAAGGCAGACTTTAAAGTCGCCTGTGGCAGGACACAGTTTACACATCACTGGCTGTCCGTATTCACTTGGCTAGTCTCTCTGAGAGAGATGACTTGGCTGCTGTCAGAGGCCAAGCATCAGACACACACAGACAGGCTCACGCTGGAGCTTGTTGAAGCTTTCCTGAGAGAAATTCTGCCAAAAACATAACTAAAAATGCAGTCTTATGAAAGTAAGGCTTATTTGCCCAGACACCCATAAACCAATCAGCAAAAAGCCTTTCTTGTTAACAAAATCACTATTGCCAGTTTCTTAAATATGAATATTCACAAGTGAATTTTCTACATGGCTGCTGGTATCACAGCAACACATGGACCACTATTCTGAGTCCTGGGTTAATAATAATTGGAATCAATTTAATTTTAATCAATTTAAACACCTTTGTAACCAGTGAGCTAAAAACATGATGGAAAAGCAAAACTTCTAAGAGATCTGTGTCTGTACTATTATGTAGATATCTAAAAATTGGGGCATTGTGGGCTCCAGGAAGTTTCTCCTTCTCCCTCTCTCTCTCACACACACACACACACACACACACACAATACCTTAAGGCAGCTCCTATCTATGGGGTCAATGGGAGTTGGTTTGGGACGGACCACTCTGACGTCGTCACTGCTGCACTCAAGAACAGACCACAGCTCTAGTACCAGGGCCCGTATAAAGCCTGAGACAGAACATGGAGAAATTTTTTGTACCAACATTTATTTTAAATCGCAGCAACTAAAATTATTAACAGTGCTTTAATAAATAAACAACTGACTTTGTTATTGTGTGCGATCTTTTAAAGAATGGCATTTTAAATCTGCTGTTGCATTGCTGGCACTGTTTTGATTGGAGGATTTGAATCTCAGGGAGGAAGTAAATTTATAATGCCACTCACTTTGATCCCATTTGATCTCTTCTCTGTTGCACTTTGGCCTGTCAGTAACTACATTTTTGCAGCTTCTGATTGGCTATATTTTTACACTGTAGTTGTTTAAATGTGCAGCAGAGTGCTGCTGTTAAAGAACATTGGACTCAGCGACTTCAAGCTTGCACGTAACAGCTGGATAAAAACATTAATGCAACCAAAATGTATGCAGCCCTCACTGGAAAACTGGGGATACACTACAGTACATAAATGACGAAGTAAAGACATAACATTAGTATCATGGAAGAAGAAATAGTCAGTGCATCACGGGAAGCTCCCAGCAACAAAAGCTGCATTTGTATTGACACATAAACATTAATTTGTGAGCAATTTTCAGTGTATTTCAGTTAAATTAACAAGACAAATATAACAAAAGGGATTTTATACTTAGAAGAAGAATATGCAAACAGAGTACAATGACAAATTTAAACTATGAAAACTGCAAGTACTGCAGTTCTAGAGTTACAGATATACAATTAATCTTTGCATATCAGTGCTGTATAACCCAGGGAATGTACTGTATTGTATATAAAACAAGGACATAGCCCCCTAACAGCACCCATTGATTAGCGAAGTCCAGTTCTGAAACCTCAAGCAGATGCTTTGGGACTTGGTGACAAGCTGGGGGTGAATGTAGACTTCTAAATGACACTGCAGGCCTTCCTTAAAGTATTGTTTTTGACTGTAAGGTTAACATTATCTACAAAAAGGTAATGTTACAAAAAAATTCAATGATTGAATAGTGATGGAAATCATAAACTGTTTTTCAGTGGTCATAGATCAAGTCAGCAGTAGAGTCTTTTTTCTTACAGAATGGCTCTCTCACATAGAAAGCTTAGCAAACGGCCCATAATTTGTAAGCTCTGCCTGGACTATATCACTTTTTGAGGTCATCCTTCTTTCTGTCAGTCAGCCTTTTTATCGAAGGCACAAACGTATGTCACATCATGGAACACATGAGTGCTCCACAGCCAGCGCTGCTCAACACAGCAGGGAACTGTTCTTGCGTGGCTAAAGTCATTAGAGAGAATAGGTTTCAGAGCGCAGCGGTGCTGTTATATGTGAAGGGCTGATAAGAAATCAGACTTTGTTTTTCCATAACCAGTTGAGTCGCCCCTTCTGGCCCATAGAAAGAATGCAGGATTAAAATATTTGTTCACTGGCTTCATTTTTTGGCCTCTTTTGACAAGAGTACGGTATTTCCTGGAGCCTTTTGCATATGGATACACCTAGTATCAGTATACAACTGATATGTGAATCCATTTATCTATGATTCACCATGCTACTTGTAAATGTGTTGCTGACAACAAAATCACATTTTCTCTTGCCTGAATGATGCTCACATCACACACCATCTTAATCCTTCCAAAACAAAAAGAAAAAAAAGAAAACGCCTCTTCTTACTCTTTCTTACCCAGACAAAAACAGTTTGACAAATACATTTCTCCCTAAGCTGCCTGAAGTCTCCTTTATACCGACAACACAAAAACAACAACTTATAATATAAGCCTTGAGCATCACAGCTGACAAGTGTTTGTTGTGTCCAAGTAACTGCATTAATACCTGAACTGTGCAGAGCCACAACTCCCGGAGCAGTTGCTGCCACCTGTGTCACCATCACCCCGTAGCCAAACTTCTCGCAGCTGCTCACCTACAGAAAACACACAGAAATCTCATACCCCTAGAAATCTTTCAGCCTTTCACTATTGTAGTTTTTGCTCATCAGGTAAAAAATGAATGAGTGTTTGGAAAAAGGATGGAAAAGGTTTAGGTCAAATATAGTACTAATGTATGATAAAGGGAGATGTGTAAGTAAATCTAGGATTCTGGAAAGGCACAACATAATGTAGCTAAACATGCTGTGGAGAAATCAAATTGTAAATTGATTTTGGAGTGTGCAGGCCGTTCATTAATTACAACACAATGCCACAACTAAAAATAGACAAAATATAATTACATGCCATAATTAAACTGAAATGCTAAACTAGAGAAGCAATTACAGTAGTGCGTAAACAATGGCGGTAAATTAAGCCCACAGGGGATCAGCTAAGGTTTGCAGCAAGCCTGAGTGTATGTGTGTTTACAATTTGAATCTTAGAAAGTGTGTTTCAGTGTCGAGCAGGGTGCTGTGAATACTAAGGAGTCCTCGGGAATTATGATTGTGGCCTTAAGGAGGAGCAGGATCAACAAATTACCACATCTTGTGAAGAATGAATTATGATATTGATGACATGAGCCAGCAGAATGAATAAAGCTGACAAAGATTATGCCTGCTGCATAGGGAATAATACAACATAAATCCTTAATACAATGTGCATCCATAGTTTCTGCACAAATATTTGTACGCACTCCAATAATCACTCTTTTCTCTTTTTTTGTCTCATCAGTGATTATTCATTTTGTATCTCTCTAACTCAAGTCAGCATGACCCGGAAGATTCTGAGAGGCATGAAATTACTTTGGCACTTTGATAGGATCAATAAGGGCTGCCAAAGGATTTCCATAAAATGCAATAAAACATTAATGTAACTATGTCATGAGCAGTGCTTATCAGGACATGAAAACCCACCCTGATGAAAGCAGGACGATAACCTCAAACTACTAACAGTGCCTTTATAACCCAATGACTCGTTTTGTGACCACGTGCAGTTTTTAAAGAATGCTATTTTAAATCTGACGTTGCATTGCTGGCACCGTTTTGATTGGAGGAATTTGAATCTCATGGAGCAAGTCAATTCATAATGCCACTCCCCAACAGCCCACTTGATCTCGTCACTGCTACACTTTGGCCTCTCAGTGACTACATTTGAATTTGGCAGCATCCACGTGGCTACTCTTATATACTGTAGTTGTGTTAATGTGCAGCAGAGTGCTGCTACAGAGCATTTGGCTCAGGAAACCTCAAGCTTAACACAATCAAAATGCGCGCAAACTGGAGATACACTACTGTACATAATTAGTATGATGGAAACACAAGCAGGACAATTACAAATTAATTACAAACAGTTAAGTACATTATTACCTGAAGTTTTTTGGTAAAGCGAGAGAACATGTAGGAGACACATTCATTAATGGCTCCTGTCTGCTGGAGCAGCAGAAGGCCTTTTGGAGTGGCACCAAAATTCAACAGACTGTCCAATAATGTCTCCTCCCAAATGAGCCTGTTCACAAACAAGAAAGACAGAAAAATGATGGTGCTTTGTCCTCCCACTGCAAGAAACACAATATTAAAATCACTAGGAGTCAATTCCTTACACATAAAGACATTTTTTTAGATACCACTGTACTTTAATGTGAGCCATTTAATATCATCTGACATTTTCTGTGTATGTTGTTTTTATTCTACTTTTAGTTATCCATTTTTAGTTTGTTTCATACTGCTTTATTAAACTCTTCGGGCAATTTCATTTTATAGAGTCACTTTATTGTATTACAATTCGATTTTACATGGTGTTCTATAGTATTTTATTTAGATTGCTTCTTGTTGAAGATACACTGAAAAAAAAGACATGATTAAATACCGCTGGACTCCAATACTCTTGTATTTTACTGGATGGTGTCCTCATTCATTGCTGTAATAAATATAGACATTTTGTTAAATTATTTAAAGTTGGATTTTACGATGTGCGGCCTCACATGTTCTGCAGCTCTTGGGTAGATGATCCAGCGCCAGCTCCAGGTACTGGAGTCTGAACCCTTTCTGACAGCGAGCTGGTCTAGAAATAAAGTTTTAAAAAAAGTATTATTACACAATATACTTTAATCATACTTTAATTACTCTATATTAAATTGAGTTTGTGAACATGAGGATCACCTGAAATATTAGACCACATTTACATCCTTAAATTACAACGAATAAATAAATAATTAAGCAATCCAAAATCCCACAGAATGTGTTCATTTGTTTACTTGGTTCTTGACAGACTGAAAAAGTGCTCTAAACACCAGGATCTCATTTGCTTAACATGAAACAAGAAGGTGAGTAAACATGGAGCATCAGCTGATCCCACTGTCAGTCAGGATTAAACCTGCATTTTGTTTCTCCATTGAACAAATATGGGCATGCGTTTGAGACTTTCAAAGGAACACAATCCATTTTGTGACAGTAATAAAGTAATAAAACAATGTCTCATACACATTAATTTTTATACCAGATGTTTTGAAAATAAACAGGTAGCTTGTGGGGCGGAACTGCTTTCACAGCTACTGAGGCACTACCAGTCACTGGGCAGCTTGGCAGAAAGATTGCCTGTTATGCGTCAAGGTGTGGCTGATAGCTTCCGGATCAAAAATGCAGACATGGAGACACGAATTCAACTCAGACAGCTTTACTGCTGGAGCTCAGGAACCGAAATAGAAAAAACAGAAACTCAGACTTAACTGGATTCGATCATTTACTGGTTACATATGAGATGTGACAGACTGGGGAGACAGGACACAGAAACTAGACAAACAAAGGAACACAGAAACACAAACTGACACAGAGTCAGAAAAGTAACCAAACATGGAGATTATACTGATTTACAGGGGCTTTACGGAGGTGAGTCTAGGACAGGAGACAAGGGGGCAAAACTGAAGTAGAATACAAGCAAAGCACAGAGCAGAATTAGGTAACAAAACTCTAGACTATCAATACATAAAGAAAAACCCGGAAAATACACAAAGCAACCAAAAACTCAACATACTGGGACAAAAACCCAGGGATGCTAACAGCGCCACTGAAACCTTCTCTATGACGCCCCTGTAAATGAACTGCAGCAGAGCTTCATTTTTGTTTGCATATTTTCTAGTTTAGCTTTGAAACACAAACTGCAGATTAAAGATAACTGATGCTGTGTCGAGTCAGAAACACCATTCCAAGAACTAAATGAAGCACATTACAAAGGTTAGTTAATTCCCACCATTTGCATGAAATGATGGTGCTTTTCAAGCTGTGTTGACTGAATAAAGCGAGAACGTGGCATTCATCAAGTAAATGAAATACAGCATAAATATTCTAGCCAGGGATCTGATCATTACATACAGACACCCCTCCTTTACATATTTAGATAAAAGATTCAGAAACTGAGTTGGGCCATCATCTCTTATCCAGTCATGGCTCAGTTAGTCAAGCAAATTTCTCCTGGATTTGTTATATTTACAGTTATACTCTAAAAGTAACATATATCTGGGAAAACAGCATTTTCTTAAATCACATCTTGGAAATGAAAAAAATCGACATCTATTGTTAACTTTGAAGGCAGTATCATTGTGGTGAAGACGTGATTGGTTTCCTTATACAACACTACTGTTTTTTGTTGTGGGTATTTGTATAATGTTTTATGTGTTGCATTTATGACATGTAGCTTATCTGCTACCTGGGTCAAGTCTCTCTTATAAAAGAGATAATAATAAAAAAAACATGTTTGATGAAATAAAATGGATTTCTTTAAACTGTTTCAAGTCAGCAAAACAGCAGGATGTGAAATTCTTGAGTGCACTTTTCATACAGTAAAGCACTGCTGTATTATTTGTGATCCAAAAAAACCCACTACACTGTGTTTATAAACTGTTCCCTTTACCAAAGCAAGATTTATTAAAGAAAAGCTGGTGTAGAGTTTGGTTTATTTCCAAACACATATGATTTTGTGTTTGGGCAGAAAAGTTTCACATGATTCAAAGTTCAAATTAATCCTCATTTGTCTTATACTGGGCCTTGGTGCACCCCTACAGCTCTACAGAGCTATTCATCCTCCTTTTAATCCTACATTCTTCTGACTGGTTGCCCATAATATGAGCATCCACTACTGTAATCTTACATATATTATTCTATAATAATATATAGATCTGGATCAACAGTCAGGTACGACACATGCTGCGTACTCGGTCTCTCGCATTTAGATCAGGAAATGAGACGGAGTACAAAGTTGCGAAGTATGGACTGAGGAAAGCCATCACAGTGGCTAAGAGGCAGTACAGAGAGAAGCTGGATGGCAAGGCCTGATGTAGCAAGGCCTGCAGCACATCACAGAGTATAGGGCCACCACCAGCACCAGCACCATCAGCTCTGTAGGCGGTCTGCTGGATGATCTCAATGCATTCTACACCCGCTTCAAGACCTCCCAGACCCTCTAGACCCCCCAGATCACCAGGACCTGCCAGAACCCCCAGACCACCCAACCCCCACCCCCGTCAGTGGTCTCAATAGACCAGACGCACAAAACCCAGAGGAGGATCGACCCCCGTAAGGCAGCAGGACCAGACAACATCCCGGGACGGGCCCTTTAAGCATGTGCCAATGAGCTGGCAGAGGTTCTTACCTCTCCCTCAACCAGAACACTGTCCTCACATGCTTCAAGACCACAACCATCATCCCTCTCCCCAAGACAAGCCCAGCCACCTGCCTGAATGACTATAGACCAGTTGCACTCACTCCAATCATTGAAAAGTGTTTTGAGAGAGTGGTGCTGGCCTACATCCAGAGCAACATCACAGACACTCTGGATCCCCTGCAGTATGCCTGCCGGCCCAATAGGTCTACGTCAGACACCATCGTTGCTGCCCTTCACTATTTCCTCTCCCATCTGGAAAACAAATACTCATACATCAGGGTACTTTTTGTTGATTACACCTCCTCCTTCAATACTGTCATCCCACACAAACTCACTCGCAAGCTGGCAACACTCGGCCTACACCCCACCCTACGTGACTAGCTACTGGACATTTTGACTGGCAGGGCCCAGTCCGTCAGGATCGGCAACAGGACTTCAGTCAGCATTATTACAAACGCAGGAGTTCCACAAGGTTGCGTCCTCAGTTCCATCCTCTAGACCCTGTACGCCCACAACTGTGTCACCTCCAACAAAGATAACATCATTTTGAAGTTCGCAGATGACACTGCAGTGATCGGTCGCATCACTGGAGGGGACGAAGCGGCTTACAGGAGAGAGGTGGCCGGTCTGGTGTCATGGTGCGAGGACAACAACCTCACCCTCAACACTGACAAGACAAAGGAGATGATAGTGGACACGAGGAAGAAGAGGAGGCCTCACCAGCCGCAGTTTATCCGGGGCCTTGAAGTGGAGAGGGTGAGCAGCTTTAGATACCTGGGCGTCTACATCTCTGAGGACCTCACCTGGACACTGAAAACCTCACAGCTGGTTAAGAAGGCGCAGCAGCAGCTGTATTTCCTGAGGAGGCTGAAGAAATTTGGTATGTCGGCCACGATCCTCAGCAAGTTCTACAGCTGCATTGTGGAGAGCACGCTGACCAGCTGCATCACTGCAGCAAACGCCTGCAGAAAGTAATAACAACTGCAGAGAAGATCATCAGGACTCTGCTGCCCTCTCTGCAGAGCATCTACCATCACAGAGTCCAGAGGAGAGCTGCCTCCATCCTCAAAGACCCCACACACCCCCAACACGGACTGTTCACACTTCTGCCATCGGGACGAAGGTTTAGAAGTGTGAAATCCAGAACATCCCGACTCAACAACTCCTTCTTCCCCACTGCTGTCAGACTCTTGAACAGCTGAACTATTTTTGAACAGTAATAATAATTAACCTGTATTAATTATTAAGCTATAGCTCTTTTGCACACATCTCTGTTTCACACTTCAATATTTTGTCTCCTTTTCTGTCTTCATTTATTTATTTGTACTATTTGTATTTTGTCTGTTCTATTTCTATTGTATATATTAATCGGCATCTGTGGGTGGACAGCAAAGAAAGAATTTCATTGCACAAAGAAATGCCTTTTTTCCTTTGAACACATGACAATAGACACTTTGAATCTTGAATCCTGAATCTTTGAATCTATAATAGCTCCACGCCAAATAATAAAGTCTCTGCAAATAGCACAAATGAGTTACATGTACCTTTTTCCACACAGCAGCTAAAGCTTTGTGCAGGCCGTAGGGTCGTAGAACCTGCAGACCCTCGCAGGTGTTGTACATCTGCCGACAAACTAAAATAAAGGCTCCACATAATGAATGGGGCATATCAGATTCACACAACGATGGCAATTCCTTGTCGAGCAGCCTCTGGGTGAACTGTACGATGATATGAGCAGCAAAGGTTCTGCAGACGAGGGTGAAAAAAGACAATGTTTATTATAGAGCCACAACATGGGATTTTTAGATTGTAAGTATAGCAATCTCAATTTGTGGCTTTACATGCCTACACTGGAGGTCTCCAAAGCACTTTCATACACTCACATTTTTAATGAGCCAGCATACAGAAGTGAAGCCATAGGTGGTTGGCAAATACATTCTTGGTCATTCACAACAATAGAATGTGTTTCTGGACAGACTGAAGGAAACTACAGTGCAGACTAGTCATTGTCAGGCAACAGAATATAACGCAGTATAATATAACCCCAGCTGCTCACAAACCAGCAGCAGCCTCATGTTCCAATCTGCTCTCGGTGCAGAATAAGCAGGATTTGCTATGCAAATTTAACTCTGTATTAAAATCTTCCAGCTAAGTTAGGAAAATGTAATTTATTCATTACTATCAAGAACGACAAAACGACGCTGCGAATTTAATCACAACATCTCACCTCTCACTGTGGGCTGCGACGAGATTCTTCTCAAATAAGAAGAGCGCTAATCCTCTGTCTGTGTTTGCAATACGAGCCAGAATATCTGCAATGAGACTCAGGGTTGCTGCAGGAGACTTTAACTCAGCCTGCAAAGCACAGAAAATAAACACACAAAATTACCAACTGCTTCAGGAAAATTGGCACCTGAACAGATACTCAACACTGAAATAACACATTTATCTTTCACAATAATGGAACTGAAGAAAAAACTACTACATTTCATAACCAAAGCCTCTGTAATTCCATTTTCTGGAAGGCTGAACGATGACAAGTCCTTACACAGAGGACAGCTATGTTACTCTTAAGATGAGAAGTCTACATTTGAAAATTACTGCACTAAAAATGTAAAAGGAAAGTAGTTTACATGCTTATTTACTATGAGTAGAAAGTCATGGTTGGACACTTTACACTTGAAACTGTATGAATCAAAAACCTTTTTTGTAATCTGCAAATGGTGTGTGTGTGTGTGTGTGTGTGTGTGTGTGTGTGTGTGTGTGTGTGTGTGCGTGTGCATGTGTGTGTATGTGTGTGTGAGTGCGTGTAGGTATGCTTGTGACCTTCTGTCCACTGAGCAGCGCTATAACAGGAGTTAGTAGCTTCTCTATAACTGGAGTCTGATAGAGACACTCTGTAGCGCATTCTGTCTGTTCACATAGCATCCAAAGCATCTCCATCACAAGGGTGCTGGGCGACAGGACGTCTGAACCTACCGAAAGTAAATGAATTAATATGCATTTAACGACATTAATTAGCTGAATTAAATGCATATGAAATCATCTAATTACATTAATACCCACTAGGATTATATCTGCCCACTAGGTTTACACTTTTAGATCACCTAAATATGTAATCAATGACCATTTTGTGGCGCTTTCATGTCAGTAAGATGATTCAAGCCAATACTAGCAAGTTGTACCTAACAAAGTGGCCAATGAACTTGTATTTCCACTATTTTGAGATATGCATATATCCACTGACTTTTTCTCATATCACAGCCTTGTTCCACAATGGCTTAAATTCATGTTTCACCTCAAACAGACACAGTTTCAGCATTCCTCTATGGAGAGAGAAGAACCTTACAAGAGAACAACTATTTCTACAGCGGTCCACCAGGCCTATATAGTAGCCAGACAGTAGCCAGTCAGTAAAAGACACATGACACCCAACCTGGAGTTTTTTCCCAAAATGCACCTGGAGGACTCTCAGACCCGAAGAAACTAAATTATCTGGTCTGATGAAACAAAAGTTTTTGGCCTGAATGCTAAGCGCCATGTCTAGAGGAAACCGGGTGCCACTCATCACCTGGCCAATAACATCCCTACACTGAAGCATGGTGGTGTGGATGTTTTTTGTTAGCAGGAACTGGGAAAGATGAACGAAGAAATGTTCAGACATAGTTAATGATAACGTACTCCAAAAGGCTTTGAACACAGACTGGGTCTAAGGTTCATTTTCCAGCAGGACGACAAGATAACAAAGGAGTGGTTTCTGGACCACTGTGTGAATGTCCTTGAGCGAACTATTGTGAAATGGCTGTGTACTAATGCAACCAGCCAGATGGAGCTTGAGAGGTTGTGGTAAGAAGAATGGGAGCAACTGCAATAAAAAATAGATGTGCCAAGCTTGTAGCATCATACCCAAAGAGACTTCAGGCTATAACTGCTGCCATAGGCGCTTTAACAAAGTGACGAGCAAAGACTGTGGATACTTAAATACGTGGTATATTCTTGTTATTATATTTTTAATAAACAAAAGAACTCTAAGCAAACTTTTTCACTTTGTCATTAAGGAGTACTATGTGTAGGATTTTGAGGTGAAAAATTAATTGAATCCATTTTGGACTAAGGCTCTAACATAACAAACTGTGGAACAAGTAAAGCGCTTTTGAGAAGCACTTTATTTCTGATATATGCCAATACATGCCCAAAGATACAGAGAACACAGATGATGTCTGTGAGGATCATAAATGAATACCTGGGACCAATCTTTATAAGAGTGTTGTTGCTTTTAATACTACATGCACATAACTCTAAGACTATTAAAAGCCACGTATAACTAGAGTTCAATGTTGTGTAACAAGAGAAAATTACAAAAGTGAAGATTTACAAGTCATGTTTGTGTTATAGCTGGAAACTTAGCCTAATGGGGCTTTAAATTCAAACATCTTACCCTCCATTCGAGACTAAATCTGTCGCAGAGTGCACTGTGCTGTATCATATTGCTGCTCAAAATACAATCTCAAGAATGCTTCATGTGATCTTCATCAGACAGCAGGTAAAATATTAATATAAATATCTGTCTTAGTCAGCATGACTCTCTGTCTCAGCCAAAGGAGATTACCCTCTGACAAAGTCAAGGTGGGGAACAATATTGATCACTGGACCAACATTTCTCTAACGTAATTCATGAGAATGAATGGGGCAATAAAGTCTTCAAGGAGACAAATTAAGTACTACATGACTCAGTACAAGGTTAAGAGATAAAAGATATGGCCCGAGGAGTTCTTTTTCCATCTCATACGCTGGGTCACTAACCTACCTCAGCAGTTGATTTGAAATTCTCCTATCTGAACAGAGACCAATAAGTAAGCTGAAATTCTACTATATACCTGCGTGTGCGTATGCATGCCCTACCTGTGTGTGAGGAATCCCTGTCCAGAGGTCTAGGGTGTTTATACATTATGTTAAGCAGGATGACAACGAGGTCTGTCAGGGTAACAGGATCTGAAATAGACATAATAAATCAATCAATCAGTTGATAGTCACCGTGTCTAGACAGCGACTAAAAATATTAGGTGGGTAAGGAAATAGTCCATATCAAAAGTTAAGGTAACCTTAGAGACAAGGATCAGCCCCTTGCGTGTAGTTCACTTAACATATTATGTGCACAGTGGGTTTTAGTATCCACAGACTTTTAAAAGTGTCTTAATATGACAATTCATTACAAGCCTAAATATCACCAACAGTTCCTGGTTGCACGTACTACAATAAAGAGAGCTTCTGCTTTTCTAAAACTTTAAATAAAAGAAAATATTTGGGAGTAGGACTTTGTTCTGAATAAAAAAAAGAAAATTAAAAACATTTAAGAAAACGAAGAAAAAGATATTCAGATCTCTCCTTTTCTCACTGTGCATCTGTTTCATGCCATTAACCTTGAATGATTCATCTCCCAGTATCATCCTATAGGTGCAGATGGTCTACAGTTCAAACACTGTGTCCTTTCTTTCTATGTTCATCTCTTCTCTCTACATCTTTGTCTCCCCCTGTAACCTGTGAGACAACCTGAAGAACTCTTAAAAAAGAGATTCTCTTGTTTCCCCACATTCACCGAATTCTTCCTCATAAGGAATCAATTTATTGCTTGGTTTCTCATTATTATTATAGTGTTGTATAGTCGTAGCATGAGTACATAAAGCGCCATGGTATAACTATATATACATTATATTAAATAAAACTATAACTATAACAACTATAACAAGAAAATGTTAAACTGAAAACACTAAACACTGAATATACTGCTAAAAATCTGAAGGCAGAACAGACTGCGACTGTGTGGCAGGACAGTGAATTGAAGTTATACTGAACTCCAAACTCCAGACAGCTACATATGTGAACACCTGGCGTCAGTGGTGCTCTCACAAAAATACAAAAATAAAAAATCCTGGTAGAATACCGCACTTAGATTTTAAAATGTCATAGTACATGTTTTTAAAAAACTGCAGTGAAAGCTTTAGGAGGTGATAAACTATAACACACAAACAGATAGGGTATCCAGGTCAACACTTGAAGATGTGGTCATTATCCATGAGTTGCTGGTCAACACCCTAGTTGTGTAACCTATGTTGGATAAAATTACAAAACAGGGGTGATTTAACTGTACACGAATGTCCTGAGAGGAGTTATTAATTAGTAAATCAATTACAGTTCAGGAAAGTCAGATGATGAGTCTGCTTTAATCAACTGACTAAGTGAAATGTAACTATTATGTAACTTTATTAGTAATTACAGTGGGGTGGAGGGCTAAAATCTCTGTTCGAGGGAGGATTATACATGCTGATCAGACACAGTCCTGCACTATAAAGATTACATCTACTAAAGGAGATATGACGATCTGTACATGGCAATAAACTCTCAAGATCAGTGTCAAGATGATACAACAGACGACATGTTGAGTTATGTAACATAATCCTGCACCATCAAACCTTTGTATTTCCTTATTTTGATGGGAAAGAGCTTTTTTCCATTCGTGTAGATGATGAGCTTCCCTAGGACACACAGAGAGTGAACAAAGCAGCAATACTCGAGCTCTTTTCCAGAATAAACACTCCTCTGTACCAAACCTGAAACATTAAGAGAAAAATCAAAGTGATACATTGTTACAATATATTACTGATATTGTAACAGATGATTTAAGGAACTAAAATGAGAAAAAGAGAAGAAAACAATGTGAAAAAAAATGTGGCAGCATTGAGATGGACACAGTTTTCACACTGTTCATATCAAAGGCCTCAGAATTACAATGAGACTGACAGGTGAAAAAATGTGTCAGGCTTGCAGTGTCTCTAGAGAGCAGAAAGCCAGAAGAGGCACAGCTCGGAGAAAAACTATGTCTTTTATGAGGACTATATCAGTGGCGAGGGAACTGGCATATCGCAACTTATCCAAGACAAGGTCACAATGTTCAGTCTCAAGGAGCCAGCTGGCTTACAGGAGATAACAGGCTCCACTTGCATTCCCTTATGCCCCATCTGCACCTGTATTCATTCTGGTTTATTCCATTTTAGCACGTAGCTTTGCAAATGGATATGCACCATGTCCATGTTACTCTATAATTACCATGTTATTTTTAATTTATCAAATACTTGACACAAACAGATAATTTCATAAAAAACTTAGAAGGAATTCATTCCTAAAATTTGAGAAAAAAAAAAAAACACTTAATGGTGATGCAAAGGGCTGTCGATAATCTCCAGTATTGCCTCTTGTTTGTACACATTGTTGAGAACAATGTGTTGGACTGCGTCATGTAATATGTAATGTAATCCTGAAGTGTTGCTATGCCAATTTGTCAGTGTTATAATTTGTCCTTTCCACCATTTTTCCTCTGTCCACCTATGTTTTAATGTCTGTGCATAAAAGAAGCTGAATAAATGATGGCAAAGTCTAGGTACGAACACTCAAAGGCTTCAAATGAAGCATTACTTTCTCATTAGACTTTCACAGTAGTTCACTCTGAGAGTTTTATTTTTTGGTTTGTTTCACAAGACACATTAAATCAGCATTACTGCAAATGTGCTGATGCTTAGCACACAGGGAGAGGCCCAGAGTGAAGTTTGGTATTTGAATATGCCTGAGAGAGTACACAAACCTGATGAAGAAATAATGAGATTAGGGAGTGGTTGTTTTTTTTTAACTTACCAATGCTCCGCTGCTCCCCTGACTCAGTTGTCTCATTTGTGAAACGTTCACAGGACTCATTGTACTTGATGCACTGCTGAAGAGCTGCTACAGCCTGTGAAAGAAAAGATATAATGCATGTTGCTTCGGATGCTAAGCATGTTAAATTAGCTGAATAAAATGACGACGGCTAATGTGCATTGCCAAATTTGTAGACTACTGTCATAAACAGGCCAAAAACTGAACAATTACTTAAAAATTCAGTCAGAATCTCAGTGCAACCTCCTCTTATCCAGTCAAGAGATTTAAGACTAGAAGCCATGCTTTTAATCTAAATCCAAGCACTGTGGGGAATTTTAATGCCCTGCGATGCAAGAGCAGTTTAGGCTTACAGTGTTTCAGAGAGATATTGGCAGTTTCTTTAGAGAAAGTTTCAGCGGCGATTCCACAGTAACTCTTCTAAAGTCACTGTAACAGTTAAAAGGGAGGTTTGAGCTCAAAAAAAAAGACCAATTCTTGAATGTCAAAGTGCCACTCCTGTTCTGTGCCCTTTTTTCTAAAAGACCAGTACACTGAACTGTTTGGCTGTGATTTACACCTGCACCCCACAAAATGACACAAACAGGACCATTTTCATAGGAGGTGTCAGAAGCAGTTAGATACAGCCAGTCTTTTGGACAATCTCTTTAGCTTTTCAACAAGTTTACATCTTAGTAAAGGTAGAATTTAGGAGAAGGTTCTCAATAAGGCCCAAAAACCAAACCAGAAGCATTTTCTGTCATTATGCAAATGTGCTGTTTATAAGATTGGGAAAACCTGCAGTCAGCTGAGAATGAGCAAGTCACTTGGATGAGTGGCGAAACGTTTCTCCCACTGAAAACGCTACGTCCAGATGAACAGAATCAACTTTTGGAGGCTGACTACAGCATTTCAATATGGAAACAGGTCACCCTTGGGCTCTGCAGGTAAATGGATTTGTTTGGGAAAAACCAAGATTTTCATCAGTTCACCAGTTTCCTCTGGTCCAATCACAGCTTTGCTTTCTCATGAGCACAATGTCTGTTTTAGATGCAAGTTTTGATGCCTTTTGGATGACCCAAGAACCAGGCCAATATAATGTTTGCCTGATACTATCAGCCACTATCTCACAGATATAATAATTTCAGGATTTTTGTTGTCAAATATGCACCAACAGAAAAAAAATGTATTTTATTCAACCACAAAGCAAAGAAATATGTGAGGGTCAGTTAGAAATGTTGTAAAGACATATTTTGTCCAGCAGTGTTTACAGAGCACTCGGTATCATTTGAAGCACAGAGAGCAGTATCACAGCTTAGCAGATGGTAATATATTCCCTTTTAATTTAGCTCCAACTATATGCATATATATGGACAGAAAGCATGTGAGAGAGAATATCTTGATATTGACTTTTTAAAAAAAAAAAAAATCCCTAATAATATCTATCTGTACTGTCCTCAAATATCCAGTATTGACTCGGGTTAATCCTTTTGATGTTCATTTGCTCCCCTCTTGTCTCAGACCTTTCAGAAGTACAAAGCAGTGAAAGATCCTTATTATTGAGTAAACCACTCACCACAGACTTGTATTTTCTCTCCAGGAGTCTGAGAATCACAGCCCTGCTGTAGTAGCCATGCTGAGAGGGAGGCAGAGGCCAGGAGAAAACCAGAAAAAATATACGTTACAGAGTGCAATATAAACAAGAGAGGATGGAGATCAAAACATTAAAATGCAATACACGAACACAGCGGTTCATACAAAAATTCAGTCTGTGTAAATCTGAAACTGTGGGCATACACACCATCCACTTTTTAAACCAAGTGGCTTTTACATCCAGTAAAGCCAGTAAGTGAACTGGTTCCAGGACTCTCTCAGTTCCTGGTGAGCCATGTTCGCGATGGAAGGACAGCAGGGAAAAGGTGTTTTCTATAACTTCTTCCATGTATCTATAAGCAAGGTCGAGAAACAAAAACACAAAATAAGTTCACAGTCCGTTCCATCATTCTATAAATAATTACGTATATTAAGTGATATGTATTTGTGGGTCAAATTTCACACCCTCTTAAAATGAATCATTTAAAAATGTACGAAGTGTTCTTTTTTTTATACATCAGATTTGAAAAGTAGCATCTGGATAGTCCGTGATGGTTGGGCACACAATCAAGAAACAAGATAAAGACAACTTACTTCTCTGGATGACGTATCCAGAAGTTAGTCACCTCCTTTTGAAAATCATTCATCAGTCGAATCTGAAACAAGACACACAGAGAGAAAAACAGTGTGTGCACTTTATTTTTACCATGATATAGTTAAGAAGCTCTTGTAGAAAAGTTGCTGTACCTGCTTCAGGAGATGACTGATCTCAGGCCTGTTAATGTCAATGGTAGCTGAGCCACTTGGAAAGCTCAGCTTATGGGACAGAAAACTTGACTCCACAGATTTAGCTGCACATTCAAAGGCAAATTCTTATTACAAGCCACACAAGATAATATGGATTTTGGATGTATAGCAGTGAGCTACAACCACTCAAAGATACAGTAAGTAACATGGATCACATTAGTACAGTTGCATTTTCTGCTTGGAAATTTCCTGAAAGTAACCTCGTCCCATAAAATCCACAAACCAAACATCTCCTTCCATCTAAACATAAAACCAAAACTACTTCCCATGTGTCACTGAATAACAAGCTGCTTTTCATTTGCTCTGTACATAAACAAGTGACCCTTTAAGATATACTTTTTTTTAATTTTACTTTTTAAAAAACATCTTTGTTTAATTCAAACACAACAGTCCAGCACACTACATTAAAACCCAGAAGGGTCCATTGAGAGTTACCTACCCAGGCTTGTGTAAATTTCTCGTGTCACATTCAGAGGGGAGGATGAGAGGCTTTTAGCAAAGAATCGCAGCGCATTATCCTGACAGAGGTGAGATGACACACGTGAACGTACATTCACAGCCATTTATATAACCAATCAATGATACCTACGTTCTAAATGATAAGAAAATTCAGTGAGAAGAACAGAAAGAAGATTAAGGATCCGTGGAATGAGGAACAGGTTTTTCAATGTTCAATTATAAAGCATAAAATCGTTAATAACAACAACATGGTTATTATTGATTTATTTATTAATGAATAAATGATTAATGCTACTTATTTTACTGCAGTGTGCAGATGAGGCTGCTCAGGACTCACGCTGAGGTCGGGATCCGGCTCGCTCAGAGCTACGCAGAGGTTCAGACGCAGGCTGCTCCAGCTCTCACAGCTAAGCACATCAGATGTAGGAGCACGGCAGAGGACCTTCAGAGCCTCCCAACGCACCTACACAGAGACTCACATCAAGCACCTGGACTACACTGCCAATTATGCCGAGGAGTGGTTCGTAACCTTTTAGCTGGTTAACCCTTTACACAAACCAATGTCTACTTGCAACCCTACTTGCAAGTGCTAACTGTGCCAACAAAAAGCGACCGTTTCACTCAAACTGATTCAAAATCAGTTTAAGTGCAAAATTAAACAAGACCATCTCCAGTTTTTCCAACATGGATAAATGTGAAGATAATGTCAAGTTAAAAGATTAAGACAAAGAAAAAAACCCTGATTAGAAATCTACGGAAAGATTAAAGGGACATTTTTCTTGCTCTTGCCTGCAACTCTTTGAAGAGACCTGATCATCTAACTGGGAAAGATGGATTTGTGCTACAGAATCCTCCAGTGACCTAAAGAAAAACCAAAAGATATGTCTAAGCTGTTTACCTCTTTGGGCTTGCTGGAGTCAAGCTTTTCAGCCAAAATTTGCAGCTGCTCTTGTCTAAAGAATCCATAACTCTGGGAATGAAAAAAAGACAGGAAATGGGGGGGAAAGCGTCATTACTCACCAAAAAGCAAAAAGAAAATATCTCTCAAAACAGCTTCACTCTATGTCTAAAGATTGATTTTCACCTCCGTTCCATGTATCATGGAAAGAAAGAAACTTGTGCAATTAATGTCATCCAGAAATTGGGGCCAGAATACAACATAAAGGCAAAAAATTAATAAAACAAGCGTTTATTGGCATCATTTGTAAGCAGTTTTCTCTAACCCGACTGAAGGACGAGCCACTGTCAGAGCAGTTGTCAGTGAACTGGATGTTGGACTGCCTATGCTGCTTCTCTTGGTGCGTCTCCTCCTTTCTCAGCTGGTCCTCCTCAGACTTGTTTTTTAAAGACTCCACAACTGTTATCATGGTGTTTTTTAAGGTGTGTATCATCTGCTGGTACCTGTCATAAAGAGAGAAAGTGAATGAGCTAAACTAGGTCAACCAATATGATTGCATGAGTCACAGCAAGCCTAAACATTGCTTCATATGAAACTCAAGTGAAAGGTAATTACTGCATCAATTTATAGCTGAAAGCGGGGAAATTCAGCGCTGAGATTGGATGGTGCAGTTATCCAATATGGAAAAAAAGAAAGAAATATACTGTAAATACAAATGAGATTTATCCACTTTTTAAAATAACCGCCAACTGACAACTTAACTTTAATACCACAAATACATTTGATGGCCTTGGATAGCTTCTTATTAAAGAACATTAATCCAGGGTTTTGGCTAAGAATGGGATTATGGGAGATGGCTACACATGACAGTAAGTTCTCTTAAAACTGAAATTAAATACAACTAACTAAATCCAACTGCTACTTAAAGTCACCATGAGAGTTCGGTACACCCAGGCTCTAAACAGTAAACCCAAGATGTCACTGACAGGTTCAAAACAGTGGAGTTTAGTTGGCTTATTCAGTGTAAAATATAGAGACTGTGGATGAGAAATGAGCTAAGAGCAGAAAGTCAAGTATTTGCTTGTACAAATTTGACAAATTCCTATTAAGGACATGTGCAGAGGTTCTTAAGTCCCATTTTCCACTTTCAGTTCTTAACATTTATCTTTTGAATCTCACTAAAACCTCTTTTGAAGTGCCAAAATGTCCCCTGTGTACAAAAACACCGGTGGCAGCTTTATATGAAAATGTAGGACACAGATTTGTACTAGAGCCTCTTCTTGTTTGTGGTGATGGACAGGTTTACAGATGAGGTTGGGCAGGAGTCTCTGTGGACTGTGTTGCTCGCAGACAACATTGTGATCTGTATTGAGAGTGGGGAGCAGGTAGAGGAGAGCCTACAGACATGGAGATGTGCAGTAGAAAGAAGAGGAATGAAAGTCAGCGGTATCAAGACAGAAAAAAAATGTGTGAGCGAGTGAGGCAAATGGAAAGGTGAATGGTGATGCAAGGAATAGAGGTACTAGAGATGGGGTTATGATCCAAATCAATGGGGAGTGCACAAAAAAAGGTAAGGAGAGAGTGTGCAGGTAAGGTGGAGTAGGTGGAGAAGAGAATTAAGGTAGCAGCCTTAATAAAAAGGTAGGTTTAGAGTATGAGATGGCAGTAAGACCACTTATGTTGCTCAGATTAGAAAGGGTAGCTAAGAGAAAAGTCAGGAGGTGGAGCTAGAGGTGACAGAGTGAAGGTCATCGACAGGACAGCTGAGGCTGGACAGCTGAGATGGAGCTGAGCGCATGTGTGTGTGGTAGTTGTGGCTCAGGAGGTAAAGTGAGTCACATGCAAATATGGAGGCTGCTAGCTTGATCGCCTGCCTATACGCTTCCATCAGAGTGTGTGTGCAAATGTTAGAAAGATTTCTGCGTGTGTGTGTGTGTGATAACGATTAAAAAGTGCTCAGTTAAAGCAGAAAAGAGTGAAAGGGACCATCTCGTGTGTTTAGGGGCTGATTGCCCCTCTTTAGGCATTGGTGCCTGGACCTGAGAGTATAAAGTGTGTATGGGGAGTGTGTGTACTGCATTCATTTTTTCAGCGTGTCTCCATGTTAGTGAATTCATACTTGTGTCTGCGTGTGCCTGTTAGTTTGTGTATCAGGTCAGGTGTGGGGGCCTATTTTGCCCTGCCACATGCCCTGCCAGTGGCTGGTGCCCCCACCCACTGATGCATTGGTGATTCTTGGGGGGCAGGGCTGTGGTGTCCCACACAAACACTAGACATTTCCATGAAGACACCTTTTGAACACAAGCGTGCTCACGCACAGAGGTGTACAAACAGATACTCACAGACACACTATTGTAGTTGGCTGCTGCCTCTAAAAATATCTTGTATTATTAGTACTGTGTGCTGTTCAGTAAAATGTATTATTCATTATTTACTGTTATTTATGCATATGTTAGCTGTTGATGTGGTTTCTCTGCTGTGTTACTTTTTTCCCTCACCAGGTCTTGAAGCAGATTCTCAGCGTTTTTTCTCTCTCTCCTCATTTTTTCTCTCCCTATCCTTCTCCATAACGTTCTCCTCAACTTCTTTCGTCTTTTCCTTTTCCGTCCACCGGTCTTCTTCGTTATGATTGTAATAAATAGTAATAATAGTTTGTTTTTAGTTTTAGCTATTTTAGGGGGATATCTGTGTGTGCTAGGTGACTATTACTGTGCATAATTATTAGGCAACTTAACAAAAAACAAATATATACCCATTTCAATTATTTATTTTTACCAGTGAAACCAATATAACATCTCCACATTCACAAATATACATTTCTGACATTCAAAAACAAAACAAAAACAAATCAGCGACCAATATAGCCACCTTTCTTTGCAAGGACACTCAAAAGCCTGCCATCCATGGATTCTGTCAGTGTTTTGATCTGTTCACCATCAACATTGCGTGCAGCAGCAACCACAGCCTCCCAGACACTGTTCAGAGAGGTGTACTGTTTTCCCTCCTTGTAAATCTCACATTTGATGATGGACCACAGGTTCTCAATGGGGTTCAGATCAGGTGAACAAGGAGGCCATGTCATTAGTTTTTCTTCTTTTATACCCTTTCTTGCCAGCCACGCTGTGGAGTACTTGGACGCGTGTGATGGAGCATCGTCCTGCATGAAAATCATGTTTTTCTTGAAGGATGCAGACTTCTTCCTGTACCACTGCTTGAAGAAGGTGTCTTCCAGAAACTGGCAGTAGGACTGGGAGTTGAGCTTGACTCCATCCTCAACCCGAAAAGGCCCCACAAGCTCATCTTTGATGATACCAGCCCAAACCAGTACTCCACCTCCACCTTGCTGGCGTCTGAGTCGGACTGGAGCTCTCTGCCCTTTACCAATCCAGCCACGGGCCCATCCATCTGGCCCATCAAGACTCACTCTCATTTCATCAGTCCATAAAACCTTAGAAAAACCAGTCTTGAGATATTTCTTGGCCCAGTCTTGACGTTTCAGCTTGTGTGTCTTGTTCAGTGGTGGTCGTCTTTCAGCCTTTCTTACCTTGGCCATGTCTCTGAGTATTGCACACCTTGTGCTTTTGGGCACTCCAGTGATGTTGCAGCTCTGAAATATGGCCAAACTGGTGGCAAGTGGCATCTTGGCAGCTGCACGCTTGACTTTTCTCAGTTCATGGGCAGTTATTTTGCGCCTTGGTTTTTCCACACGCTTCTTGCGACCCTGTTGACTATTTTGAATGAAACGCTTGATTGTTCGATGATCACGCTTCAGAAGCTTTGCAATTTTGAGACTGCTGCATCCCTCTGCAAGATATCTCACTATTTTTGACTTTTCTGAGCCTGTCAAGTCCTTCTTTTGACCCATTTTGCCAAAGGAAAGGACGTTGCCTAATAATTATGCACACCTGATATAGGGTGTTGATGTCATTAGACCACACCCCTTCTCATTACAGAGATGCACATCACCTAATATGCTTAATTGGTAGTAGGCTTTCGATCCTATACAGCTTGGAGTAAGACAACATGCATGAAGAGGATGATGTGGACAAAATACTCATTTGCCTAATAATTCTGCACTCCCTGTAGATAGCTGGTATCAGGGAAGTGATACGGTGAGATGGAGGCAGATTTTCTGTGGCGACCCTAAAAGGTGCAGCCAAAAGAAAAAACAAAGTTTTGCATTTGAAATTCTTTTTAGTAAGAAGGTTGAGTTCTGGAGTTTTCCAGCATATCCGAAAGTAAGTATGGAGGGTCAATGAAGTAGGTTTGAAACACAATAAACATGATGAATATGGGCCAATAGAAAAAGATGCTAAAGATATTCAGAGACACTCACTCAGCTGAGTATCTAGTCCTTTGTGTCACTGCGTGAATCAGAGTGTCGTGTCCCGAGCCAATTGCATGTTGTCCATCTTCTCTGGTCAAGTTGTTTGTTTCCTCTTCAACCACAGATCCTAAAGCGTTCTCCACATATTGACGGAGGTACTTCACAAACTCATAACTGAAAGAAGAGAAGTAACCAAGTCACACCTATACTGTAAATATATACTAAAAACAACACAAAGAACACATACCCATAGAAACATAACAAAGCCTATTTTATTAGATCCAGTCATTACATTTAATGCTATGGTGTTTGATGATGGACTCACTTGTGAAAGTTCTTGTCAGTCTCCTCTAGGTGAAGAAGGATCTCTTCAGCACATTCAGGTGAAGGAGCACTAGAGATCTTGTCACTGATGCTTCTCAGAAACTGCTTAACCAAGGACTGCAACTCCACCTCATCCTCAGCAAACTCAGACATCTCTGCTACTGCTGTGTCAAAAACAAAAGGTTTTAATTCAGAGGGATTTCTAAGAGACTAAAGGAGGCATTTTTCTTTCCATTCACTAAAGCATAAAATACACATTTGCTCATCCAATGGCAAAAAATAACAGGAAACTATATAAACTAATACTCTGTAAGATAACAGATTAAGTTACTTAACAACAGACGAACCAAAACGTGCTTATGTGTATATTTCTACCTCCAGCATGTTACTAAAACGTACATCCTTTATCATTTTCCCCTTCTCGGTTTCATTTAGTGAGGAGGAAAAAATTTCATCACCAACAGGTTTGAAAATTGGCTACCTATCTGGAAAAACAGCCGATCACAGCAATGATGACAGTGTACACCACGTAAATGTGTGATTAAATGTAAAATAACGCTACAATCAGTTTGATTTTGTCCTGCAATCTAAAGGTTTAATTCTGCTGCTAACAACAATGAATGTGTCCCTTCTCTTGTTAGCTTGACGCTGCCATTATTGAAACACTGCTAGCTGAAAAACAAAAGTGCCAAAATTAAACTAAAACGGAAGCTGGACTAAAAAGCAACGAAGGCAAACGAAAACCATCACGCACAGAGTTTTTTTTAAATCAGTCACCTTGTCTTTGTGCATATAAAAGAGCTTCATCGAGCTAGCGCTTTGCCATCCACAACTGTATCTCTATGGAAACGTCCAGTGTTAACTGTGGTGCATTGTGGGAGACCCCCATATGGTATCTCCACGATAATCGGAATTTGGCATTCATAATGAAAATCTGGATATTTAAGATGTCTTTGGATTAATTTTAGAGTTTATACTTGCTTTTATTGTTTGTCATGTGATAATTAAAGAATATTTCAACCGTATTGAATATATTTAAAAATCATTCAACATGAGGTAAAAGTATTTAGACGGATTTTTTGTTACGGTTTTGAATGCAGCACTGCTGTTCTACACCGTCACGTGACCCAATGTTTTGCTGCTTTCACCGGGTGTAGCAGAGGAGACATACCTGCTTCTTAAACGAGAATTCTTACAGCTTTTATTAGTAATTTTACTATGTGGGGTTAGTTGTAGCTTCCATTTACACGTCTGAAGTATTCGTTAACCTATTCACGTACAGGTCCCAGCGTTATATCACCGAATAAGCTTTAGTTAGCAAATTATATCATCAACTCCAGCGTGGGATATGGCGGCGGTTGACAGCTTTCAGTTTTTGTACAGAGAAATTTCTCGTACGTGCAACTCTTACTTTGAAACCCTGGCGCTGGTCGGTGCTCTGTACACGGCCAGCAGGGCAGTGATCCTGCTGAGCGACTGCTGCACGTTGGTTAGGGTGCATTTTCTGCCCAGATTGATCCCAAGTAAGAAGCTGACCCAGAGATATGGTGACTGGGCTGTCGTTTATGGTAAGGATGGGCCGCAGCAGAGTTAATTTCTGTTATATCATAATTGAAGTAAACTCTATTTCATTAAATTCATATTTCATGAATCTATTTCATTAACAATAGCCAAAGTCAACAGGAGTATATACAGAATGCAGTTTTTAAATCATGGTTGCATGTATGAATGGGAGACAAGCTATCCAAACCTACCTTGCGTTTTGTGAAAAAGAAAATTGGCCCTTAAACCCAATAACTGGTTGTGCCCCCCCTCCGCATTTAAATCCGGACTTTGACTAGGCCCTTTCAAAACCTTTATGGGGTGGACTTGCTGGTGTTTTGGATCATTGTTCTGCTGTATAACCCAAGTGTGCTTGAGCTTCAGGGTACGAACTGATGACCAGATATTTTACTTCAAGATTTTCTGGTAGAGAACATAATAGAGTAAGCAGAATGTCCTAAATCATCTTTTAAAGGCTGCATTTTAAATTTACTTTGGTTATCTTTCTCTAATATTAAAATTTGTATGATGATGAAACCCGCCTTTCGCCCTATGACAGCTGGGATGGGCTCCAGCGCCCCCCGCGACCCTGAAAAGGATAAGCGGAAGCGAATGGATGGATGGATGGATGGATGGATGGATGATGATGAAACATTTAAATGTGACAACATTTGCAAAAAGCTTAGTAATCAGGAAGGGGACAAATCCTTTTTCACAGCACTGTAACTGGTTCAATGTCTATAATGTTGCTGCAAACATTTTTGTTCTCTCTGGCATGACTTTGTCATCTCTCTTGTCAGGTGCATCGGAGCCTGTAGCCAAAGCATACGCAGAGGAGCTGGCCAGGCATGCCATCAGCATCATCTTTGTCACTCGGGACCCCTCCTCTGTTAGAGACATGAGTGCATACCTCTCCCAGAATTATGGAGTGGAAACTGTTGTGGTCTCAGCTGACTTCTCCCTGGACCAAGTGGCCTGCAAGCCCATCAAAGAAGCATTGAGGGGTAAAGATATTGGCTTCCTGGTAAACTGTGTCGATGAATCTTTGGCTTCACCCCAGAGCCTGATTGAAGTGCCCGAACAGCACCTCTTGGATTTGGTGAACAGGAACATTGCAGTCACTACTCTGATGACCCGATTGGTTCTGCCGGGGATGGTGGATCGCAGCAGAGGTGCCGTGGTCAATATATCATCGGGTGCCTGCTGCAGACCTCTTCTTGGAAGAGTGACGCTCACCGCCTCCACTGTGAGACAAATCACTATTACAGTCTGCAGGCATGGAGACGTGCCAGTAAAACATATCTATAGCCTGTATAGATCCTTTGTAATATGATGAAGAGCACATTGATGTCTCTGATCAATTTGAAGATCTGTTGTTACTACTATCCCCTTAAAGTATTAGTTCTTGATTTGTGGCAAGTAGATCCACTGCTGGTGGAAAATATGTTGTAAAACTAAGCTGAACAAACAGGATTTATGCAAAATAAGTTTTAGTCTTCTGTTTTCAGTTTTGAACCTTGATTGATTGTTAATGATTGATTAAAAATGTAACTTTTTTTTTAGTATGTAAAGTAGTGTCAGCCAGAAAAAGGTTTGAGAATCAGCAGAGTAAGCCGCTCTTTAAAGTAAATTATGTAGGTTTTTGAACTGTCATCTCCATTTCGTCTGTGTGCTGGCTATAGTCCCAGTCACAACAACATTATTTTTTCCTGACAACAGCAACCTTTCCTCTGACATTTCAGGGATACCTGGATCATTTGTCAAGAGCTCTTCACCTTGAGTACAGCAGCAAAGGCATATTCATTCAGAGTCTGCTCCCCTTCCAGGTAAATATCTTAACAGTAGCTGTTCTGTAAGACCTGAAATCTGGCAGCAAAAGTCTGGCTGGATCCACGATCCCCACTGCTATTACTCTGATAGATGCTAATGTGTGGCTTGTCGTGTTTGCACATCATGTATGAAATTGGCTATCAAACTAGGGAGATCGATGAAATCAAGCTGCTTAACTTCATCTTTGTCCATGTCCATTTAGATAGCCTCAAGTGAGCAGCAGCCATCATCATCATCTTCATCACCATCACGAAGAGAAGGCTGGTTTGTACCAAAGCCAGAAGTTTATGCTCGCCATGCCATCTCCACTCTGGGAGTCTCAAACAGGACCACAGGATATTGGCCTCATACCCTGCAGGTCAGTTGAAATGAAGTCATGTCATCAGTTTTTATTTTGACAGCATCACAGAAAATGTAAAAAATGTGAAGTATATTACTCTGAGTGAGATGATCTCTGATACTGTTAAAGCTTTTGTGAAACCAGAATTGAAAACATTAAATACTTTTTCCATATCCTGTTCTCTTCTCTTTTTGTCTTCGCAGTACGGATTGATGAGATGCATTCCAGAGTGGATCTGGGTTCTCGGATCACGAGTGCTCATTAGCTCAAGCTAAGAGCTTAATCTAACGCACTGGGTCTTGTTGTTACACGAATCTTGTTGCATTCCAGCTTCTTCTGCTATTAAATCTGTTGAACTTTGATGCTCTGATGAGGCTGACACTACCGTTTTCTTTCTATTGATTGGGTATTAGTTAATAAAGAACCTGCAGTGGAATTCATCTAAAATGATGAGTAAAAGTACAAACATTTTTTCAACATTGCTCCTGCATTACTAGATTATGGTCTGATGAATCTGTGACATCCAGCGTTTACTTTGAAGCCAGACAACCTTAATTATTTCCAGACCTGTGTTTGGGTTGGATTTACAAGCTTGTCAATTATTATTGGAGCCTAACAATAAGACTTTGTTTGGTCTTGTGCACAGAAACCATTTTATACGAGTGAAACTCATTTTACCTGCTGTGTATCTTCAAAAACACTTCAGTGGAAGAGAACATTGTGTATAAGTGCAGACAATATCAAAAGTCTCACCTTAAATGTGAGACAAATAAGAGCAATATAAAACAAACACAGCCGAAGTGAAACGAGTATAAACAAATTCACTAAATACACAAGTCTAAATTTAAGAAGTTAGGCTTGATTTAGATTTAAGAATACGTTTAAGAAAGTATTTTGACTTGCACTGTGATAAGGTTTGCTTTTATCTGCTATTAATCTACATCCCATGTGACTTCATTCTAACCAAAAGCTTTTTGCTCTGACCACGCGCATCTGACACATACACAGAGCCAAAAACAAAAATAACAGGCTAATAATATGTGATAGCCTTTTCATCAATGTGTTTGTATAAAAAAGCTGTACGGGAAACCTCATCCAGATGCTACAAACATGTTTGTTGAAAGTAAAAAAATAGTTTATATTTCAACTCGTTCTTGCACTGAGATTGTATCCTCGGCTTCTTTGATTTGCTGGTCTAATCAAACAAAGAGTTTAAATGTCAAGCTTTCTACAATACAGTGTGGTGTTTATCTGTTGCAAAATATATATATATAAGTGTTTACATACAGATAAGTGTGTGACGAGTGAATGAAGTGTGATATTCAAGCATCTCCAATTTAAAGGTGTGCTGAAGTTTATGGTATTTTATTTTATTAAGAAACAATATTTAAGACATTTGATACGAGAGCATTTTGCTTAAAGTGGACCTGTTATGCTAATTTCCGTCTCGTTACTGATTCGACCACTTTTAACTCCTCATTTCAAGCCAACTAATTGGCTGTCCCTCACAAACACAAGATTTGAACAGCAGGTGGGTTAGAATGAATAACCTAAACTGTTACAGCACATATATGAGAAAACGAATGTGGAAAAATATAATAGGTCTGCTTTAGTTAATCATTTGTGTGATATTTGACACACACATTGAGATTAATTATGTTAGTTGATTGCTGGAATGTGAAATCCGTGTGTTATTGTAGCACATAATCAGACCAATAAAACTCCTCCATTCCAACATCACTTGTGACGTTGTTTTCATATGTGTACTGTAACTTTTGTCTTTTATGTTGAACCATATTTTTATAAAACCCGAGCGCTCTGCCTTACTTGTGCATGTTTGTCTTCTCTGATACAATGACTGATCAATAAGGTGAAGGCCAGGCTTTGTTTTTCTCTTTAAAGTGTAAGTACGGAGTAAATTATTTACAGAGCAGAGACGACGCAGGCTTCCAGAGTTCAGTCTGTAACCCCCACAGATGACCTGGGTCAGAGTAAACCTTAGAGGAAACTTGTAAACCTCATGAACCCACAGTGTGGTGTGTAGTAAACAGACACGGTGCTGTGCAAACCCTTCTTTGGTAGGATTTAAATATGACGCCAGAGTCTGAATACTGTGCTGGTGAAAAGACAAACATTTGCTTAAGCAAAAA